GTACAATTTATTGGAGTTCTCCTTTTTTGCTAAGCCATAACTAGGTATGTTTTACTGTTTTAAGTGATCTTTTCTACCTAGACCACATTGTTCCTAAATTTCCATTGAATTTCGAAGTCTATTTTGTTCACAACTTCTGACAGAAGTGGTTATTTTTAAAAAGTATTAAAAGAAACACGCACAAATCCATCAGAGCACTGTGCCTATGCTAGATGATGTTGAAATTTTCAGCTAAGTTAAAATAAAGGTCATTGTTGTTGTCGCCCTTGTTGTTCTTGTTCTTGTTCTTTTTGTTTAACTTCACCAGGACCAATGTTCAAACACCAAAGCGTAGAAAAAATTGCCACAACTTTAAGTGCTTGTGTTCTCCCACCCTCCATCTCGACCCTGCCATGAGATTTTGTGAAGAAAATAGCATCTACTCATGTTGCACAAAAGAGGGAATGATTCTGACTTTGTGATAGAGTTGGTTTCCAATGATGTGTGACAGACGTTCTATTCACCACACGGTGTCATACATAGGCTATCAAAAGCAATTAAGTTCATAATTCTGTTATCGACCAAATCAGTTAGTGTTCTCGATAGCTCCCTCTATTCGCAGTACCCGGAAGCAGTTTAAGATCTCCAACGGGAAATCTGATGACGAGATCCCAACCCCTTAGCTTGTTTCCATTTATTCAGATACAAACACACGTCACACATATCAGTTATCACCGTTATCTCATCTGTTTTAATTAGAATCCTCTTCTTAGTCTCTATGTTGTATTTTGCTTGTTGACGAAGCACTGGAAGCTAGTCCAACTGGCAACCCCTGCTCGGTGGTTGTTGATTATAATAATATAAATGCCACTGGATGGACTTGCATTCATATTCATTTGGAGATCAATATGCTGTTCGGTCTAACCTCTTCATCTTACAACAGTCATCTTTGGCGGAGTTTCTTTTAACTCTTCCTCCTATATAGGGTTGTTTTGTAAGTACTTGTTTTAGCCAATATGCCTTAACAGGATAACACATTCCTTAATTAAGTTTGACGTTTTAACTCAAAGAACTGGAATATAACAAATGTTGTAATCAGTTTGAGAAAAAACATTATATGATGTATGAGATAAATTTCTTTAAATAAACGAAATATCGCGCTACTGTTGAGTGCAATTTCCTTAAACTTTCCTTAATAGCTAACCCCGGAAGACTTCTGCCCTTTCACTAATCGCCTCTCTGCATGCCCAAAACTACAATGAGAAAATGAATTTGCTGGAATTTGGCTTTTAGAAAGTTGTCACGATGCAACATTTGGTCTCTTTTAAATTTCATCGGCAGGGTATCCTAAGGAGCTGCCTCAGGACAAATAAATTGGGCACTCCCAAAGGACACGTTCTTATCGATGAACAATCTGTCTACAACCAGCACGTAATCAGTAGAAAAGAACTCTTCTTGTCATTTTTGGTTTGTTACGATTTTCACAACCTACACCAAGGATCATACCCAATATTGTTCAAACGAAGGAAAATGCCCGGGGTCGGGCAAACGTGTGTGGTGAACACCAACACTTTAGGGGGGAATGCTCTTGTATTTTCTCGAAAACGACAGCTTTGTCGATTTGTGCGTCATTGGGCGTGCAAATTCACAGCGGTGTGCTTGTTATTCCGCAAGACTGAATGATGTTCTCCTGCTGTGTGTTTGGTAAATAAAGCCTGAGAGGAGCTGAGCTGAACTTCAAAAACTTCTGACCTGCTATAGTTTCCCATTATCCGCCTCTATTCGGACAATCGGGAACACCATATGACATCAAACATATACACGCCGAAGTTTTGGGGAAAAGAACAGAAACACCGGGAAAGAAGATGAAGTGCTCGTAATAGAAATAGGTAAATTTAAAACCCTCCAATACTCTACTGCAATCACGTGTAACCTCGGTGGTGCCTGTATGAATGGTTTGATGGAGAAAGGAGAGGAAGCACAATGTTGAGCAAAAAAGAACAAAATTTGTCAGAATTTGTCGTTTTGATTGTCGGACACAACAACCTTAGCGCAATGGATTGTAGTTCATTCGTTTACAATCCGCCATCTTCTCATTCTAGTCTGATCATTGTTAGTTCAATGCGTACAGGAAGCGTTAATTGGGAGAAATAGCTCTATAGCTCTATAGTTTTAATGAGATGGTACAAAGAAATCGAAGTAGGGTCACAATTTGATTAAAATCACAAATCCCCTCCCCCCATCTTCGCTGCACATTCACCGGAACCATCAAAATGATTCGTATTAATCAGCGTTGACCTCAGATATTCAGCCTTCTACTCCTTTGTTTCATTTTCAGTTCTCGTCTTCAAAACGATAAATATCAACGTTTAGAACAATTATCAGGTTCTACCACATCGGAAGCTAATTTACCCATGAAGGTCATCGGTTACAGTTTCATTCATCTCCGACTCCTGACATTTATGCGAGCCCATGAATTCTCTGGACACGGTTCCGATTCATCAGGCAAACGTGATGCATTCGTGCCCCCAACTGCTTTGAGACCATTTATCGAGGTGAAACCACAATCCCACAGGGGTGCCAGATTTCGGGTATGCCTGAAACCGGTAAAATCGATCAATGGTATTCAATTGAGACACACATACACGCCGTGATCGAGAGGGGCCGGAAGATTACTCTCATGGGAGGAAGTAGGCATTACACTAAATGATGAATGTATCCTAAGGACGGCGTAAAACGAGATCATTTGGCCGATAAATTGGCCTCAAGCGATATTATTCCTGTCCAAACGCATTACCATAAACACCGCATCCATGCCATTTCGGTTTCAGTAGTAGTAGCAGTATTATATCCAGCCCTATCTTCCACCATCTCCTTTCCACCCGTCCCACCCTCGAAACAAAAATGGCACACGCATTGAGAGTGCGGTCGGTTGGTCAAGCCAGATTTAACCGAAATAATTTTGAGGGAGGTCAGAGAATTATAAGCTGACGAAACATGTTCTAAATTGAGTCCCGAATGGCATGTTCGGTTGTGTGTCAATGTAAACCGGCTTATTCCAATTCGATTCGATGATCGCGTGATTAAGCTGCATCATTTGGTCAGTTTGTTTGAATTGTCTTTTGGTCTTCTGATTTTCCTCCTGTTCAATGAAAATGGTACAGGCTATATGAGCGCACTACAAAATAGTCGTTTCCACAGAACACCGTTTTTTGTCATTGAGGCTACCGATTTCAAATTCGTTAGATTAAATACGGACGTCGATAAAACTTGTGTATGTCTTTCAGATAATAAATTTTTTTTATAAATGTTTTTTGTTTCCACTTTTTGTTCATTTAGTATAGAAATGTACGATAAACTTTCAGGAGGGGACTGCAGCTGTACAAAGGCTGTCTGGGGAAATACAGAAAACGAGCGAATGGGCGGCGGGGCCGAGGTTTAAACTCAGGACCTACAAAAAGTTATTTTGACGATCCTACCACTCGACCAATGCCACCCTGATAATTCAACCACAAACAATAACCTGCGCATACTGAGGAGTTCAAAAGTCACTGAGATTTGAAACATTTTCTGAACTATTTAAGATATTTCACAGTGCGTACTGAGTTATTTTGCTGACCTTCGCCTCTGTTTGGGTCAACATGTCGTTGACCGGCTCTCAATAACATCTGATGGCAATCGTTATTTTTATGGTCAGGACAGTCGGAGGTACTACCGCAGTTTTGTATTCTATATGCTAACCACGAGGGGTTTCATGAATGCAAATCGTCTGAGTTTTCGCTCCTATTGAACAATCAGGCAAAACATAAATAAATAAGTGTTAAAGTTGAACAGGCAAGCCAGAAGACAAACACTGCGAAAGGATTTCGGTCGCGTACGTATAACATTAAACAGGATGGAGAAATGAAGGAAATTAAGAAATCTAGTTAGTAATAACCATGTGTGTCTGTTTGCGTGTGTGATTTCATACAGTGTGTGATGCACGTGCGCGACCGATGACAATATACGAAAGGAATTCCTCTCGCAGTGTTTGTCTTCTGACTTGCCTGTTCAAAGTCATTACGGGATCCAAATGTTTAAGTATTAAATATTTTTACTTTGTATTCATGGATTATAGAAATGCCCGATATACGGTCAGGAAGGGAGCCGCAGCCTTGCAAATATTGTCTAAGTTAATACAATAAATGGGAGGACGGATGGTGGTGACGCGATTCAAACTCACTGAAAACCATTGCTTTTACCCAAAATAGGCAGTTTAACTGAATTTGTCATTTTGGATTATACCTCAAATGTCGTCGGACTTATCACTTTTGGCTTTGCTCAACATAACAATTCCGAACAATATTAGCACGGATAATTCCTAATATGTCTTATTCAAAACCCCGAGGACGGGCAAAACAGACGATCAAGTGAAACTTGTTCACAATTAGGTGGATACCCCCCCCCACACACACACACCACACCTCTCACGTCCGCTGCCATTAGTTCCCAAAGGATATTCCATTGTGGATCGTTCAATATCGGTTCCTTGTTGTAAGGTTATTCTGACGTATGTGAGGAGAATCCAAACCCCTGGAGAGCTTTAACGTGTTTGAGTTCATCATAACCCTGCTGAGAACAACATGGACCACCGATTAAATTTACATACACACATATAAATGTGCGGATAGCTTGGATTGCTCCAAAGATCGAGTAAAACACTGTCAGGACGGCGACGGTGATTCCACTTTTCAAGTTAAGGTATTCTATCAACTCACAAGAACTTGCGAGTGTTTTGTCTAAACACGAACTTAGATCTTCATGTGATGCAGGCAAATGCTTGCACCATTCGTTAGTTCCAGGTCAAAAGCGGTTTCTGTAGCACCCATCCATCGCCATATTGCCTGGACTTGTTTGTCAATGAAGTATTATTATTATCATTAAAACTGAAACCACACGAGATGTTTTTAGTTCACTACAAACAACGCATCTTATTATCTTTGTCCACGAAATACATTCATGCTTTTTGACCGACGAAAAAGGACGATGGAACGTGCGACGCAAACTCTCTACCATGCAGACTTCGAGCTCAATCAATCGCCCACATGGACCCACCAAAACAAGAAACCGGGTCACTCCGTACCATCGGTGGCGGTCGTATTCTGCACCCGGACTTCGAGGACGAATTGAGTGATGACAGCCTCAGACAATTCGGCTCGACAAAAGCTGTGGATTCAAATGGAACCGGTTTGACTGAAAACAGAACACAGTATGTCAACGGTTGTTGCACCGGACTGACAATGGATCTGCTAATGGAATTGATGAAAGATTTGAACTTCGACGTGGACCTTTTTGAGGTTCCTGACGGTTTGTGGGGAGCATGGACTGTAAGTAGATGACACTGATTCCTGAAAAAAGCCTTAAATAATTTAACTTTATTGTTTAATACTGAGGTTCATTAATAAGACCAATCACCGTGAAATTGTGTTCTCCCACAAGATACACTTTGTTGAACTGTTGAACACATCATTTCAAATAAAGTCAAGAACTGGTTTTAATACACCACCTGGTGGAAATTCAGTTGTGAAATGCCTCGTGTGTATCACTTGTAATTTTAGACACTAACACACTGGAACTCACAGTCGGTGACTGCCATATCATTTCTGAATGTCATTGTTTTCCATCCAAACTATTTATCGTTAGATGATGTTTTAAAACGAGTTTCAAGTCTGATTTAAACAAATCATATTCATAGAGTCTCTAATCACCAACATTCCACAGCATAACACAATTATTACAGCAATGTATGTCATTTTTTTTCCGTTTTTCCGTTCAATTTGCGACATTTGCGCCCGCCCATTTTAGCAATCTTATTTCTCACGTTTGTGACACTGGTATACATGCAACGGGTTGTCTTTCAGGTTTACTGGCTCCGGTTCTATAAAAAATGAATTGATTTAACACTGCGTCGGATGGAAATAGCCGAAAACATTTTAATGTCGCCACACACACCCTTGGCAGATTTTGCATCTGTCGCCAAAAACTACTAAACATATTTTCAATGTTTTTTGCTTTCTCCAAGATAGGATACAGATGTCTACATAGATCGTTTATTCGAGCTCTCTCTTGTGATAGCAGCGTCCATGCAATAAATTGGGTGATAAAAGTGCAAGTAGTTTTTTCATTTGTAACATGCGCATTATACCGGTTTCATTTTTTTAACTTTGTCAGCAAGTCATGATTTTCTTTTCATTTTATTTACGTTTTTTGGCGGGTTGGGAAATCAAAACATTTTGTGCATGTTACGCAACAAGTGAGCTAGCCGGAATGACATATCTAGCTATGGAGCATATGGTTCTATTTTTTCTATTTCCCTATTCTTCACTCACTGGTTTGCTCGGCTGTTGTGCTCGCTGATCGGTTCTTGCTTTATCAAGCCCACTGCCCCCGGCCGGTATGGAACACCGACGATATGATCGCAGCGCTTGTCAGATTTTATCACATATGGGTTCCCTATCCGGCTATCCGTCCTCACCCCACACCAGCGGGGAGCCCGTCTCTTTCCTGTTCTTCGACAATTTACTACAGCTGAAACTATTACGAGCGAATGTAACATACATAACACGGTCGTTTTTCAACGTCTCGATCAAATTGTTTCACAAAAATTTCACGAAACCTGCCAGCAATCGATAAAAAGTATCCGTGAAAAACATTTCTGATTGTGGCCTCACAAACTGAGTGACGTGAAGTTTTCTTGATCTGTTGATAAAGTTCATCATTTTGCTCCTTCAAATAGTCAGATCTTGAATTAATTATTATTGATGAGTATTTACACTCATACCTGATGAAACAAACCACTACTAAAATCTCTCTCCGTGAAGCTGCAATCGGACGCTAATCCTAATTATGATTGAAAAAATGATGCCACAATTCTAAGAATGTTCGTTTGAAAATGACATAATTGACCATCATTTAATGGCTTCTGCGGTATAAATCAGCACAATACCATTTCTTCTTCCCGGTGTGGCTTAACACACCTACTGGGACTTATTCTGTCGGGTACCATGTGTTATTACTCGTTTTTCTCGACTATAAGATTCACCTCTTCTGTTATTTACCACATGAATATGTAATGAAAAAATCTGTAAAATAAGTCAGTTACCATGGCTGGCAGAACTAGTTATTTTTATCCTAGCATGCTCCCTTGAATTTGATTTCACTATATATTCAATTTCATAGTGCTGGTAAAACACAACAACATCGGCTACGCTGTATAGTGATTCTGGGTTTGAGGGTTACGTTTAATTTGTTCTTTACACAAAATTCGCTTTCTAAAAGCAGAAATTTCGGTAACCGCATTCAGATGGCGTTTGGAGTTCTTTTTGAAGTCTGCTGAATCTTCTGCTTCCAAGTTAAAAGCAATTATCTGACGACTGGAGTTTTCTGATGGGCTTTGTTCGTATGTGTGATATGTGGTTGTCCGTGCATACGTGCGTATTTGTGCTCAAGTGGTTGATTAATTGAATGAGTGAGTGAGTGAGTAAGTGAGGGAATGTCTGTATAAATGAAACAAAGATCCTGAACTTATGGACAAGTGCCATAGTTTAGCACCGGGTAGTGAGAATTAAGTCACCACAAGGTAATTCGTCTTTGCTGATCACTTGCTGGATACTTGAATGATAATAAGCTTGGTTGTGTGTGAATCAGAGTCATTTTTTGCCAGAAGAGTTGAGTGAATCCTCCGTCCTATCGATTGATTACCCTGGGGTTTAATGGTAATCGGTAGTGCTTTATCTATCAAATCTCTCTTGCTTTACAATATTCGACACATTGGAGTCATCAGCATGTTCTTCACACCCACCAGTTTGTTAATAAGACCCTACTGTCCATTTTCTTTCCTACGTACAGCACACTGGCTCCCTACGAGCACTCCTTAGGTAGTTGAATAATATCTGTCTTTAACACAGGAATGATCTCCAAGTTTATTCTGATCCGGACTGTTGAGTGGAGTCAGCTAGTCCAGAAACTGTCGAACAATGTATAAAAACATTGGAATGGCTTTCACGACAAAACCCAAATGAAATATCACAAAAAAGCTATTTTATCAAGTAACAAATTTTCCAAATCCTTTTCAGCAATGGTAGTCGATGGAAACCTGTATGGTTAGCACGATAAATTTTACCATCAGGACTAATATAGTTTAATTTTAAACATTTCAAGTAACTCTCGTTACGTCACATATTTCTCCAATCAAAATTCAACTATTTGATTCAGCCCAGGATGACGTCGTTCTTTGATCAAGCAATCGGGGCACTCTATATTTCCAAATTTTGTATCTACGCACTGCTGACATCAGATTCTTTGGACGAACTGCGATAAATTCCTAAATGTATCAAATCAATCCATTCAGTGTAGCGTGCTACAGTTTGTGTTACCGTCAACAATTGCAGCCCTAATCGATTTTCGGAATCTGCGCTGCAGCTATAACAGCGGCATTTTGTACACAGAACATTGGGTAATTTGTATGATTTTCACCCTTGATCACCTGTAAATTTAATCGTTTATGTTACAAGTTGATTAGATGAAATCTAGATGAAAGCGTTGCCACGTACTGATTGAATATGTTGCCTTCAGTGAATATCATCGGTGGCTCTGGATGCACAATTTCAATTGTTTCACACAACTACATTAAAACTATCCTACACTTTGTATTCTTTTATCATTTACTGGACTGTAAATGCGTCGGAGAGGCCTATAGGTTTTACTTTTACACAGTAAATTATTGGTTCTTTTTCGATTAAACTTACTATTATATGCATTGTTTTCAATGAAGTGGATATTTCATTTTTTGCTCTGGTCTACACTGCTTTGACTTCTGTTCTCCAGCCGGACGGATGGAACGGACTCATTCGTTCCTTGATGGATCGAGAAGCAGATATGGCAGTGACTTCATTAAAAATTACTCCAAATCGATCACAACAAGTGGAATTCAGTGTGCCTTTTCTGGAAACCGGGATCGCAGTAACTGTTGCCCTGCGAGAGGGAGCAATCTCTCCCACAGCATTTCTCAGTAAGTGAATAAAAATCCATCCAGGTGGATGCTAAAAGCCAAAATTAGATCTTATTATGAATTTGTCTGAAAATGAATACACTTGACTTGTAACCAGATACAATAAACGTTTCAAGCAACATTCTTAAGGTAGCAAGCTTGGATTATCCCATTAGATTGTTAAGAGGCACCAGGACGAAACAGCTGTCCAGTGCTCTTTGTCGGTTATCACAAGCATTTCTACCGCATGCTTTTGGCAACAGTTTACCAATGGTAAAAATTACACCGATAGCAACAACTTCAGATACCTTGAAGTTTACCTGGAAGCATTGATGGTCGTCAATCCCCCAAACGCCTCAACGCTGAAAATATCTGTTGAACTACAGCCGTGCCAAGAGTACTTCGGAAACGTTGAGCGAATGAAATCGGGAAGCCCTCAGGTTATGCCCAAAAATGACACATTTGCAAAATGATTATACTGCAGGATATTCTGTCAAAAACAATGAAAAATTTTAGTCAAAATTAATTTTACTCAATATTTGACGAACTTCGCTCTAAAATAGCATTATTTCAGTAGCAACAAAAACCCTGCTGAGCGGTATTTTTTATCATTTCATTCAATCAAAAAAATCAGTGTATTTTCGAATCCCATTGAAACAAACACAATTTGAACTGACTTCTGAAAATTAATAAGTTATTTCTTGACCCAAATCTAATCATAAGTTAAGTGTCATATAGATATAAGTTGACATTTTCAAACAAAATAACTCAAGCAAAGTATTCCGTGCAATTTTCCTCGAGAATACGTGATTAACGTTTCTCACTGAATGCAAAACGCACCTGTTATATGTGGTTATATAACACTGTTAGTTTGAAAAACGAGTTAATCCTGTTTAAAACGATTCATAGAAAACCTCGCTATTCTAAAGACGGTCAATCGGTCTATTTCAATGAGCTGTTTTTGCGTGGCACATACACACACTGAATATTTTCTAACAGCTCAGGATGTCAAAAACAAACTTGTCCTCCAGCTGTTTCCGACTATGAGGACAAGTCAAATGAACATGGCTATCCTATCCAAATTAAAATTCGTCTTGAACAAAACCACAGCTTGGAGAAACTACTCGGTGTTTCCGAAATAATTTCGTTGCATCTCACCTGATACTTACCCCAGAAAAAAGGATATAAATATCTCACAGTACACTGAGTCATGAACAAACCTAGAAATTCTCTCCATTGACACCAGAGTGGTCTTCCATCGAAAGATCGGCAATCCCCCTGCATGTCGTAGTAACCGCGAGCTTCCAACTGAATAGACAGTTCTGACTAATCTATTATCATCGTTCTGGTGGCCTGTTGCTAACGGAGTTTACGCAACCGAGGATGCAAGAGTTTTGAACATTCTATTTTTGTTCGACTGTGGCTGATGACCTCGTGCTGAACGCATTCCGGAATGTGCTTGGTCGCTCGGTTACAGAACTGCCTCTCCGTTCTATAGCCATAGTTGACTTTACATCGACATTCTAACTGATGGATGACATTTAACTTGATGAAGAGAGGGGTACAAATTTTGATCCGTGGTACCTCGGTTTTGCTGTAAAGAAGGATTAATGAGGCAATAAAGAAAAAGTGATCAACTATCGAAATAATTCGATTATGCAATATTCAACAGATACCATCAATCTTGTATGGCAGTTCGAGTCCAGTCATGAACTTTTCTACTAACGTAACCAAGACCCGTATTTGGACCTGGGTTAATAGGTTATCGGATGATCATTTGCTTGTAATGCACACTCAACGTGTTGTAGCGCTTTTGAAGGTTTTCAGACATCCATATTTGTCTAGCTCAGTGGAGAAGCAGCCAACTAGTAGACCTAAAAGTTTGCGACTCTGTTGTTTCTTTTCAAATTTCTATTCCGGATCAAATGTTTTTCGGTATCTTTTTACAGAATATGTTCCTTTATCGCAGTCGGCGTTTTGAGTAACTTACTCTCGGAGGGTGTGTGTAGCTAACCAGCGGGAAAAGGAAACGATCGATGATAAAACAGTTTATCACTGCTTATTCAGTTTACTGCTTTTCGTCAAGGATTAGAACGACCTGCACTATTTTGTGGTAGAACTCGCGAAATGCACAGTCGCAGATTTCCCCATCGCGCTGCTGTTCGATCGAGAGGACAACCGATTCCGGTTCAATGTTCAAATGAATGAAAGACATGTTATATAGTCTGTGTAACCAATTCATTTTCGTATTCCGAAATAGAGAGCGAAAGATAGTGGAACTCAGTGGTATGACATGTTTCTGTTCAAAGGGGAATAAATGCGGGGGGTTGGTTAGAGTGTTATGAAATTAAACGTACGCATTTGTGAATTGCGTTTGCACGTACCATGCTGCAAAGCTTTTCATTGATCGAGTTCTAAACCCTTGCTAATAAACCTTTTTTCTTGAAATCATTTAGTTCATTTTATCTCAGTCATCGTTCATATCAAAACGAATATTTACATTTGTTTGAATAACAAAATAAAATAACATCCAAACGCAAAACGACGGTTTTCAAGATAACCCAGATTTGTTTGTTTTGCAGTTTCATATTCTGTGTGTACCGAAAGACAGATGTAGTTCCGTTTTCAAATCTGAGAGACAAAGGGAATGATCGTACGTTGATTTTCCCTTGATTTTTGTAAATAAAACAGGAAGGAAGCCAGTTAATTTGTTGGTCGGTTTTCAGTTTATAGGTACCAAAGGATATTCGATGCCGGCGTAGTTTGCTGGAGCCATTGAAAATTGCACGGAACATGCTCACAACCCCGGGCTTTTAGATTCAGCTTTATAAATGTTACATTCAACAGCAATAAATAATAATGGGTAACTTTCTCAGGTACATATAGCATTTAAAACGAGGAAAGATGCAACAGTATGAACACAGAAAGCGTGACGAAGTAACACCCCACAACCTCTCTTCCATCGTTGTTTTCACGCAAATTTTCCATTCCTTGCCCTGTATCAGGTAGACGGAATGCAAAATACAATCGAAGTGCAGATTGAAGCTGTCTTAATTAAGAACGCAACTGTACTTTAGCCTCAAACGAGATGTACGAATATTCATCAAACTTGGGAACAATTTACTTGATTCAGTCTGTAGATTCGGCCAATGATACATTCATAGTAATCCAAACCACGTGACAAATGGATGCTGCATCATACGATGCACCGTGCATTTCAAGTCCTTACTGTTGAACTGCTCTCGTTTTTTTATACTTGCATGTGTGTTACAAATTCAAATCACTTGTTCTCTGTGCAACGTCTGATTGAAAGAATATAACCGGTTTCCAGGGGACATTAATGCATTATACCAAATAGGATGGAATTTACATGAAATTGCTGGCCCATCCAAAAGATCCAGAAGCGTCATACGACGTTTTCTAAAACATGCAACGCGCCTTTGGAAAACCAGCTGGTCATCCCAAAAGGTCAATAAAATTGGTTTAATGCAGATTGGTTCATGTGACCTTCAGTGATGCAATCACCATAACATCGTTAAAAGCTCCAAGTTTTGCCACTGCTTTATAACAAAGGATACTAGACGCTGTGCCGTAGGTGAACTTAAATAAAATAAATCTTTGTATTTCTGCATAGGGAACAACATTTATCATGGACTAAACAGTGGTATCATAGGCAAACAAGTAAATATCCTGTTAGCCAAATATAACACTAGCAAAATCAGAATAGTGCTAACGCAAACATCAATTTTACTGTTATTAAAAACAGATGAACTCCCACCGTCCNGGTGACACAAATTCTGTAGATTTTATGCAAACCAAAATGGATTGCACCAATAAAACCACAATCAGGCAGACAGTAAGCGACCGAATAGAAGTTAATTCCAGTTACACTAAACGAAAGAGGTAGAAAACACCCGATATGTAGTGATTTTCAAAAACTTCAAAACATTTCACAAAATATTCTCGCGCATTCGGCTCTAAGACGACCGTGGCAGTAAAAGAGGCTTTTAATTAATCTATATGCATATATGATTTGTTCATATTGTGGGGCAAGATGACTGAATTCCTTCTAGTTTGACACAGACTTTCAGACTTTCTCGTTCTAATGCTGCTTGAAAGTAAGGTCTCAGAAATTGCTGTTTCTCTCTATGCCTTAGACTCGTACTGCAGTATCAACAAAAGCTTATTCATTTTACACTAAATCGTAGATCTCTCTAATGAAACTGGCTCGACTGTATTACTGATTTGTACTTGTTTATTAGAACTGATGGAATAGGTGAAATTTGAGTACAGAAAAACTTGGAAGGGGAATATAAGAGTAATGCACATCGAAGAAGCTGATAATGACCGGTAAAACTAAGAGTGGGTTTCAGTTTGACGAATGACAATGCTAATCAAAAGTCATGTACGTCCTTTTGGAATCACGGGCAGTACATACGAGTTGAATTTATTTGTCAAACGTGAAAAAGGAGGCAAAAATCCAGCTGATGGTCATTTGCGTACCTCTTTTATTTAATTCTAGCAAAATAAACCACACTTCAATATTTTCTGCTCCGAATGAGCACATTAAAAATTGACGTGTATATTTTTCTATTTGCTCTTTTTTCCGAAGGTATAAACAACTAACTATCATGTTTTTACTGTTTTTAACATGTGTATAGTTAGCGAATTGTTGGTACAGTCAAATCTTACTTGGAAGACTTGGAAATTATTTTTCTTTTAATCTGTTATTGAAAAAA